AGAAGGCGGTGGTGTGCGACTGTGGAAAAGAGGAAAAGAGGAGGAGACGTTACGTGAGTTTTGGAAATGTGTTTTTGGCGGGCAATCCAGTCCTCTGAGCCTTTAATAGATGAAATGTTTTATATAAATGTTTGTTTGTATAATTTAGAAACTGGATTTTTTTAAAGGTTTTCAGCCAAAGAATATGCAAATTGAATTAACTCATTTCATCCCATCTCATAAAAAATATTAAAAAAAAATAAAACCGTCATGCTTACTAGAATAATGTCTTGTATATATTTAATAAAACATAATCGGCCTAATGACATAAATAATATTTTTTTAAAATTAATTATCAAAATAAAGTAAAAAAAAAACTTATTCCCTAATTGAGACAAATTTTTGCCACATAACAAAGTATTTCATATTAATTATAGATGAAATCAATTTTTTTATTTTTAATTTAATGATTTCACTTTACATATGAACAAAATAAAAACAGAAAAAATATTTGAATTAAATTTTTCTACTCCACGATGTTTCGTCCCTGAGTTAGACGAAAAGCTGATTTTATCTAAATCAGGGACGAAATAGCCTGATTGAGCCATGTGTTAGCTGAGCAAAATAATCGCGCCTCCTTCTTCTCTCCTCCCCTCGCGGTTGCATTTCTATTTCCTCAATTTTTCTGTTAAGTGACTAGGAGTGGTTTTTTTTTTTTTTATCGTTTTAGCATGATTTGTGAGTGAACTTGGTCATCTATTGCAAAACCGTGTTCAGATTCATTTGGTTTGCAGCCAGTGAAGGTGTTTCTAGACTGAAATTTTGAGGAGATTGGGAGAAAAGTAACATACTACATAGTCGTTGTTAACGGAAAAGATAAGTAGTAGGAGGTCGATAGAGAGACATCGCCATCAAGATAACTTGCCGCTGTCCCAGGGAATCCTCAGTCGCTAGAAATCGCCACTTTCTGCTTTACCAACCAGGTTTTTTTCATTTTGAATATAATTATTTTGTATATTTTTTATAAATAGAAATACTTGTAATGTAATATTTTGATTAAAAAATCTATAATTTTATAAATAAAATAATTAAAAATTTTATTGACAAGAAAAAAAATTTATAGTAAAATTAATATTAAAATTGAAATTTTATTACTAAATTTATTAAATTTTTAGCTTGTAGAAAATATCTTATACTAATATTTAAATTAAAAATATAATCTAAATAATTTTGGTAATTAATAGAAATTAAAAAATAACCAAAATTTGTAAAATTAAATATTTATAGTAATATTTAGATTAAAAATTCAACTTGCATGTACAATTATTATAGTAATTTGAGGTATAAATTTAAAAACAACTAAAAAATAATTTAAAAAAATTAAAAACAATAATAAATAGTTAAATAAAATTCAGAATAGAAAATTAAAAAATAATTGTATCAAATTGGTTAATTAATTATATAAGAAATGATAATTAGAAAATAGTGTATAAAACTTATAACATAAATTCTGCTTTTGATATTAATTATCATTAAAATATGTAAATAAATATATTTATTTATGATGATTAAAGAATAGATTTAGATAATTACAAAAAAAAAAGTTATAGTAAAAATTGAAAGTATTAAAATTGATAACAATAATTTATATTAAAATTGTAGTAGTAAATATTTAAGTTTATAAATAATTGCAACAAAAAAAATATAATTAATATTGGTTAATAATGATGAAATAATAAATTTATTTATTGAATATAAATTATAGAGTGATACTAATAATATGAGATTAAATTATTTTAAATAAATAATCTAATTTTTAATGAAATAAGAAAATTAGTTATTCAATATAAATTTTTAGAGAAATATAAATTAGTTGAGATAAATTAATTATAATTATATAATTTAATTTAGGAAGAAAAAAATTTGAATGTCGAATATAAATTTTTAGAGTGATTGTAATTAGTTTAGGTTAATTATTGATAATTATATAATTTAATAAATGATGACCAATAGAAAATTAAAAACAAACAACTTATTAATTAGTGTTGTTATTGTATGATGAAAATTATTAAATGAGAAGTACTACAAATATTTTAATGTTTATAGCTTTTAATTAAAATTAAAATTAATTTCTGAACAAATTACCAATTTATTTAGTAAAATTTTAAAAATTGGTTATGAATAATTGTATTTGATGTTATTTGTATTACAATGATTAAAATTTTATAAATAGATTTTGTATTTGAATAATGTGATGAAGTAAGAACATATTGTGGTATTATACTTGATGCATGTTATGAATTTTTTTGTATAATTTATATTAAAATTTTAAATTTTGACCATGTTATATTTTATAAATAATTGATATTTTGTGTATTTGAGTTGATAACATATTATTTGTAAGTTCTAAAGAAGAATGATTGTCTAAACAATGAAACTAACATACACACACATATATATAAAAATTTTTGTAGATAGCTACAACTTTAGAACAGAATATAGTCATTCATTTTTCATCCTGAATCATAGGATCATTCATTATTGCACTTACAAAATATTCACGTGTCTGATAATATTTGGAATGGTCGAGATCATCCTATTTCGAAAGGCTTCACGAAATAAGATATTATGCAAAACTTACCAATCATGCATGAACAAATCAATTCTGAATCTAGTTTGGTATAATCTTGAGATATTGTAGGGTTAAGACATGTATGCTTACCTTCACACCTTGTTATTTTCTACTTTATTAAATTTTTAAGCAATGATGCTTTTATTCTCCATGGGCAACCATTGTTATGGTTTAAATACTTTACATGCAACTTTTTTTGTTTTGACTCAATAACAAAATAATTCTGATGTATTTTCATTGCATGTTATTTTCAGGCATTTTTAATTTCATCTTTTGAGTCCAATAATAAACTCACCTGTAACGAATCTCCAATAACCCATGAAATATCTTCACTAATTTCTTCTGCTTCAGTTTCTTGGTCTGAGTGGTCCCAATTAATAGATTTGTAGTGTGGACTTACATTACAAATAGGTATTTCATCTACAACTACATATAAACATACATTATTCATCATTAAAATAAAATAAACAATTTAATCAATATACTCTTTAAATGTTACCTATAACATTTTCTTGTTGTAAATTTAAGTTTGAATCAAAATCACCATCGACGTCTGTATCTGACGAGCTGTCTAATGGAATATGTCCTTCATCAATATCATCACCACCACCATCATCATCATCACTAATGACTTCTTCATCTTCATAACTACATAAATCTCCACATCCTTAAAATAAATACACTTATTCAATATGTATTGTCACTAAAAATAAATTATAATAGTATAATTTATACCTTTTGTAATATTTATAGTGACCATTTTCATAAGGTTAGGCAGTAACATTGATAAGCTTAAGTCCAACATATTTGACCAAACTTTTGAACTCTCACCAAATGCAATATCCACATATAATTCAATAACAGTTATAATACTTTATTATTGATACGCACTAATCATATAATCAATGTCTTCATCATCACATATATCCAATGCATTATATTGTTTAACGCTTGAATCAACCATAAAACAAGAAATTATTCTAGATATGACATGATTATTACTAAGATTCAATTCAACTTGTCATGAATCTTTTTCTTTAAATTCATAAAACTTATCCCTCTTCTTATCTTTATCATTTTTTTTGTTACATTCAAATGTCATACTTTCGTTTCTAACAACAAGTTTTCCATTTCAATATACAATAATAATAATCTCACTCATCTTGTATTTGTAAAAAAATATATATCAATAAATAAATACAATTATACTTATTTATATAAATAATAAAAATAAATTATTATTAATACACATAAACATATTATTATTTTTCACATCATTTTATATTACAAAAAATGTAATATTTTTTATACGTATTCTACATACATAAAATAAATATTCACAACAAATATAACATCATTTTTTTTAATTAAACAAGTTAATATTAAATATCTACTAACTTCTATATTTTTTTTAACAATATCTAAAAAATTAATTTTTAATTTCAACATACACAAAAATATATTTATTAAATATTCATAAATTTTAACTATCTCTATTTATTTAAATAATTAAAAAAATTTAATTTTAATAATTTATCAATAACAAAAATACTAGAAAAAATATTCAAAATTTACTAACTTTAAATTTTCTTCCAATCTTCAAAAGTTTAGGAACATTTCTTTCTCCTTCAAAGTGATTTGGATATGCAAATTTGTAGCCTTATTTAGTCAAATTTTGCTGGATAAAAAGATGTAGTGGAAGGGAGTTGACCAGGGGATAAAAAGGGTTTCATCTCAAAAGTGAAAGAAATGATAATGTCTTTCATCTCAAATGTGGACGAAATAATTAAAATGCAAACACGTGTCGATATCCTATGCTTTTATCCTAAAGTGAGACGATTTACTAATAATTTTGACACGTGTCAATTGTTTCGTCTCTCTTTTATACGAAATCAGTGACATGTATCAACTTGTGAAGTGCTTCGTTTCTCTTTTAGATGAAATAATTAAATTAAAAATAAAAAAATATTTTTGTCCGATTTAAATATGAAATATTTACTTACGTGATAAATTTTACCTCAAATAAAAAATAAATTTTTATTTTATTTTATTAATTATTTAAAAAAATATTATTTAATTCATTAAGCTAACATAATTTCCATAAGAAAGGACAGAGACTAAATGTATTGTATATATAATAGGATAATTTTATTTTAAACTCTTTTTAATTTTTCAAAAGCAAAATTTTAAAATATAAGAATCACTTTTAAATTTAAAATTGAATATTTGGAAAAGGGATAAAAAAGATGTTTAACAAATACTTTTGTGAGTGTTTGCATTTATTAAAACATACGAATATATGAATAAAAAAGACAATAAATATGACAGAAAAAAGATAAAGGATGATAAAATAGATGTTTATAAATGAAAGTTGAAGAGGAGAAAAGATAAAGAGAATTGGGGAAATCAAAGGGGTGCGGAGAGAAATAAAAGGCCCAAGTGAGGGAAGGCGTGGGTTGTGGGAGTGACGGTGAGGGAAAAGAAGAAGGGAAGCACTGAACTGAGTTGGAATCGTGGGAACGGGCGAATCAGAACTCAGAAGAGATGGATCCGCTGGAAGCATTAACTGCCCAAATCCAAGGGCTCTCGAGCACCCCAGGAGACATTGCTAGGCTTCACACCATCCTCAAGCAAGCCGATGACTCGCTACGAACTGAGTCGACTCGGCTCTTTCCCCTCTTAACCCAACTCGACCCCTCCACTCACTCTCTCGGTTTCCTCTATGTCCTGTAATCTTTCTCTCTCTCTCTCTCTCTCTCTCACACACACACACACACACACACACAATTTTCCTTTTCCTTTTGTGATTTGGGGCTCAATTTACAGTTGTTCTCACAGAGAGGCATTCGCATCTGCTCAAAATTCAAAACAAGACGCTGAGACGGTGGTTCCACTCATTACCCGATTCATCAACGCTTGCGTCGCTGATCAAATTCGCTTGGCACCCGAAAAATGTATTCGCTTCTTTTTCTCCAATCAATACACCAAATTAATCCCTAAAATGTTTTCAATTTTATAAAAAGTCATTTTAGTGCTTGACTAAGGGTGCGTTTAGATAACAGTTCAATTATGCACTTTTTCAATAATCTTTTATTGTTTAAGGTGGATACTGTACCTTTGGCTATAAACTTTATTGAAATAGGCTGAAAAATGCTTATTTTGATAACTTACACGCGTTATGAAGAAACTTATTGAAATCTAAAACGAGCTTAGGGGAATTGTAAGCTATTTTTATAAGTTCTTTCAAATGAACCTAAATAACTGTAGCACAGAACTCTAAGGGCTAAAATAACATTTTTATAATTTCTATTACACTAATTTGGTGGATTTTTTTTTTCTTTTTTGGAATTGTATAAAAAAATGCTAATGTCTTTGTTCTTCTTTGCATAACTGTTTTATGTTTTTGATACTTTTGCAGTTACATTGGTATGTAAGAAGTTGAGGGAGCTAGTAATGTTGCTTGAAACTCCCATGCGAGGAGTGGCACCCTTGTTCACTGCTGTTAGGAAACTTCAGCCCTCCACTGAACACTTGACTCCACTGCATTCGGAGTTTCTTCTGCTTTGCTTGTTGTCAAAGTGCTATAAAATTGGTCTATCCATATTGGAGGATGATGTTTTTGAAATAGAACAAAGAAGGGACCTTTTTCTCTACTGTTATTATGGGTATGTTTTTCGCTTCTCTTCTTTCTCAAGAGAAAAATATAGTGGTGTGGGAATATGCCTTTGTGTTTTGTTGGACTCTCATCTCTGTTAAATATGTTTATGTATCTAATGCTTAAGAGTGAAACACGAACATCCCAGATGACAAGAACCTACTATTGGAATTATTGAATTAATTAGCTAGATGGTGAAAATGTATGATCTCTTATTAAATTGATTAAGTATCATGTGATTACTTGCATCTTTTGATTGGACAAAACAATTTCTCCTCCTATAAAAGTTAAATAAGACTTTTGCATGTTTAGGTTTGTTGAGACACCATATTGACTATAGATATGGCAAAGTAAAACTTAAAGAGGCTTAGATGATCTTTACCTCATGAATTAGCTTTTGAGATTGAGTTAGGCCTAACCCAAATTCAAAATGGTATTAGAGCCTATTATAGATTTGATATTAGCCATCATCAATTGTCCAAAAATGCACCTAATCTCATGGCTTTCTCAGTGCTATCATCCTAATCTGGTGGATTTTCCAACGCAATCTGCTTGTCCCTACAGCTTTTGCAGTGCATTATAAAAAAGGGAAGAGGATGTTGAGAGATCCTACATCAACTACAGATATGGTCTAAATAGAACTTTCTAAAATCTGGGTAATTCAGATCTCACCTCATGAGCTGATTTTTGGTGGGCTGGGTTGGGTCTAGTCCAAATTCAAGGCCATTTCCTCTAAAATACATCATGACACTACCGTGTGAAGTGAAAATCAATGTTCTATCTAATTTTCCAATTCACTATATGTTTCTACCAACCACTGTTAGAGCACTACTCCTGATTAGTTATTCTGTTAAGATAGATAGTTGTATTTTTCTGTTTTAGTTTGCTTAGTCTTTATGGTCTGTTAGCCTTCACAGTGACAACTCTAACAGAGCCTCACTCTACATGAGAGTCATCTCATTGTAAATTCATTTGGGTGAATCAGTAATTACAGTTTTAGTTTCTCTACTCTCTCTCTCTCTCTCTCTCTCGATGATACTATGAAAATCTTACATGGTATCTAGATTCTAGAGCCTCTTGATCCAATCAAGATCCCCATATCTTGGAATGATACTCTCTTCCTCCACCACCAATGCCAAATTCAGCAGTGCTGCCACCAATTCATGCTGTTCCACTCAATTCACATTCACCTTTGACTTCTTTTGGTCCAACAACATTCAATTGCACCATCATCGAGAAGCTCAATGACAAGAACTATCTTCTCTGGCTTCAGCAAACTGAACCAGCTATTAGAGCACATTTCTTCAACTTTTCCTTGTGACCCCTGTTATTCTGTCAGAGTGTCTCACCGAATTTGATCATAAAGCATATAAAACCAACAAAGTGTATCTTGTGTGGGAACAAGTTCAATTTCTCCTTCAATGAACCTTCTTCAGCACAATCCTTATCAATTGCACCGGTTCAAGGCACTCCTATTAGTTATGCAGGGTTTCTTCTCCTCTCGTTTTAATTCACTCTGATATTTGGAGTCCTAGTCATATTATGTTTACATTAGGTTTTTACATACTTTGTTATTTTTATTGATGATTTTTTTTTTTTCCAATTTACTGGGCTATATTTAATAATAGAATGATCTGAGTTACTTTCTGACTTCCATTCTTTTTATGACTCAAATTTGAAATTGCAATTCATAAGTTACAACATGACAATACACGCGAATACTTATCTACACAATTTTAGACCTTTATGGCGACATTCTTTATCCAACTTAGTGGTCTCATACTCCTTAACAAAACGGGATTGTGGAGCATAAAAATTGATTGAAACTACACACTCTTTCATTAACTCAGATGTTCCACATCATTTTTGGATTGAAGTTGTTCTTACTGCATGTTATCTTATCAACAGGATGCCATATGATGTTTTAAACTGTCAATCTCTTTACCAAATGTATTGTTTCCTCATCACTCTCTTTTTCCTATTCCTCCTTGTTGGGTCCTGGGGTCTACATGCTTTGTTCATAATCTCATTCCTGGATTAGACAAGTTCTCTGCCCATTCTGTGATACTTCATACTTCTATTCCCTTGCAGGTACCATTCTTCAATCATAGCCATCTACCTCATCAATAGATTCCTACCATTGCTGTAAAAGGACAGGTTCCCTACAAATGCTATTCAATCAATTCCACTGTTACTTCCTAAAGGTTTTTGGATGTGCTTGCTTCCCACTTCCTCATCCCCATAATCATCACAAGCTACAATTTTGGTCTCAGGTCAGGAGTTTGTGTTTCTTGGTTACTCCCCTTCACACAAAGGTTACAAATGCCTTTCTTCTGATGATAAAGTGCTTATTTTCAAAGATGTTGTCTTCAATGAATGAAGATTTCCATATTCCCGATTATTTCTCACATCTTCAACTTCTAAATCCTCTTCATCTTCTATTCCTACCACTATCATTGTTCTTCCTATCTCTAATTTCTCTCCCGTACCTCCCACTCCATCTCCTTCATCAATTGTTTGTGAGTTGTTTCTGTCTTCAACTTCTGCATCTTTTACTCCTTCTCTCTCTCTCCCATATCTAGGCCTAGAAATACTCATCCCATGCAGACTTGCCCCAGATCTGGTGTACTCAAACCAAGAATTCATCTGCATTGAAATACACTGAAATTTCCTGGCCTTCCCATGATCTGCATCATCTAGAATTTGGAATTCCCTGTGAATATCTGACTATTCAAATGTTAGTGGATATGGTTCCTGGAAATTATTGCCTTATTTAATGTTGACCATAATTAAATTGAAATTCATGTAAGTTAGATTGATAAGTACTGTAACTAGTATTAGGGGATTTAGATTATGATTCTAGTCATTTGTTATAAATGAGGAATAATGCTTACTGTGGCCAACTCTAATTTTTTTTGACAGGGGTATGATATGCATTGGACAGAAGCACTTCCGTAAAGCATTGGACCTTCTACATAATGTAAGTCATCTGTTATATATCACTGCACACTTACATTGGCCATGGTTTGTTCTTATAACAAACTCTTGGTTTCACTCTTTGTCATAGCTTATGGGTTATACTTTTTTAGGTTGTAACTGGTCCAATGTCTTCCATGAATGCTATACCTGTTGAAGCTTACAAAAAGTATATATTGGTCTCTCTCATTCATCATGGACAGGTATGGATTTTTATTGGTTTCATACTTGACATGGCATAATAAATGCATCAAATTGAAATTTTGTTGCTCTTATATTGTTGAGAATTATTTTTCTGCCAAATAAATTAATGGAAAAAAAATCAATAGTTTCATGCTTCACTTTCAATATTTCATCTTTTTTATCAGGAGACAATCTTTGTGTATAGGTCCTTTTTTCTTGACATTGGTATGTATGGGCTTTTTATTTCAATTCATTTGTTACTAACCATCTGACCTTTCATATGTACAGTCGCAGTTATCTATAACACTTCCTAAGTATGCCTCTTCTGTTGCTCAAAGGAACCTAAAGACTTTTTGTCAGGTACAAATATAATTTAGTTGAGGTTAGTGAGGTGGGAAGGCCATTGACAATTTGTTTTGCACATTCACATGACTTCGATTCTTTTTAAATGACTCTTATTTTCTGATGTAATTTTGGTTATCCTAATTTTAATTGTAATATGTCGTTGCTGCTATGCTGGCTTTGGTTTTCACATGGTTGCTTATCTTCTTTAACTTGTATTGGGTGACAAAAGCTCTTCACTCCCTCCCCCTGCAGGTAAAAAAAAGGCAATGACAGCTGATTTAGTTAAAATTTTGTGGTGGACAAGAGAAATGTATCTATTTGAACAATACTTTTGTTTATGATTTGAATTTTTATTGACAGACAGATAGACAATTTTCTGGTCTGGAGATTAAGAATTTGTCATGTGCTAGTCTTAAATCATCTGACTTGTGTAAATAGAATTGCGGATTTGCATGTGTGGCTTAGCAGAGTTAGTACAGAGTACAAGTAGCATTTCTTCAGCAATTTTATCATATGACATTGTTATTATGTAAACTATCGCCATCAAGGCCATATAGCTATCCTTAATAGAGATATCCATTGAGAGGCCCTTACTACTATATACCTGCTGCAGTTTTTGCTATTTCAGATTGCCGTTTACAGGACTGAATTTGTAGCTTCCCACAATATAAGATTTGTACTGTATGTTCAAATTTCCTTTTTTTGGTGCCATCAGACTTGAATAAAGCATAAATTTCTTTTTTTATTGTCATTGTACTTGTCTTTTTCTCCTTTGTTCATTGCTTTCAAACACATTGTTGAATTTCATTTATATTCCTTACTAGAATATTGGACTTTTGTGACTTGAGCCATTTTAACCCTATTTGGTTGTTTTTAATATGAGCAGCCTTACATGGATTTGGCAAATAGTTATGGCACAGCAAAGATTGCGGAATTAGAGGCTTGTGTCAAGACAAATACAGAGAAGTTTGAAAATGTGGGTTCATTCTCATACTTATTGTCTTATACTTTATTTGAAGTTTCAGGCATTTTAACTAGAACAACCTTGTCTCTGCACCTAGTCTAACTTTCAATTCTTCTGTATTTTGGCTACTTATTAGGCTTTCTCTTAAAATGTATGTTTATGTGACAGTCTAATAGTGCCTCATGGTATTTCTTTCGTTTCAGGACAATAATCTTGGACTGGTTAAGCAGGTTGTATCGTCCTTGTATAAGCGAAATATTCAAAGATTGACTCAGACATACTTGACCCTTTCTCTCCAAGATATAGCCAATTCAGTGCAGTTAAATAGCCCCAAGGAAGCAGAAATGCATGTGCTACAAATGGTGGTCCCCATTATGATGTCATTTTTAGATGCTTTGTACCTTTAACATGTTAATTTATTCTTTATTAATCACATATTTGAGAACTACAGATTCAGGATGGTGAGATATATGCAACAATCAACCAGAGGGATGGAATGGTTAGATTCTTAGAGGATCCTGAGCAGTATAAAACATGTGAGATGATAGAGCACATTGATTCATCAATCCAGAGGTAAGCTTTTGATATTTTTATGTAAGCCTGTTAGGGAACTTTTTCCTGCAATGTATATAATCGGATTAATAAAATTCACCTGAAAATTAAAGAGTATAAATATGCTGCCTGCATTTTCTTTTTGTCTTTTTTTTTTTAAATTATTATTTAGTGGTTAAATTGGTGATCTGCCTCTGTAATTTTCCCCTCCTGTGCAGAATAATGGCACTGTCAAGGAAACTAACTACAATGGATGAACACATTTCAAGTGACCAGTTGTACTTATCTAAGGTGAGCGCATTTTATTTTGCTCGTCCTGTCATCGGAAATTGTATGCTGACGACAAGTCGAACTATTTTCTTAGGTTGGGAGAGAGCGGCAGAGGTATGATTTTGATGATTTTGATGTTCCAACAAAATTCAACATTTAAAGCAAGGCCATCTGTTCATCCAAGATTTTATGATCTGAATGATGCATTGAATTGGTCCATCTGCCTTTTACCCCTTGTTCTTTCACTAGTGCAAATGGCAGTTTGGTTTATTTTACTCCTAGATGGAGAAAGAGTTCATCTATGATTCAGAGTCTTGTTATGTAAAGGATTAGCTGGGAGGATGTTGAACTGCATTTGCTTATTAAACTATTGACTCTTGCTTTACTGCATTCTTTGCCCTTTTTTGTATCCTGTCTGCGGCTTGATGCAGTAAAATGTTGTGGTCTCTGAAGTAAAATAGCAAGATTTGTTAGAAACGAATTCTGATATCCTACTAACACCTTTTGACGAAACCCTCACACACTTCCTCAAGATTGTCGGGATTATTCAATTTTGTCCTTGAATTTATAAATTAAGACATTAATCCCTGAGATTCAAGGACATCTTTCATCCCTACCATTAGTTGATGTTAAGAATGAGTAATAGATTGTTGACATTGAAATCTCTGAAAACCTTGAAATGAACTTTTATTTAGGATCCATTCCTTTATTTTAGTTTCTCGCTTTTAAAACCTTTGGGCTACTCATTTTACATCATTCTTCTTTAACACAACTCTTTTCTCCACTCATTCATGTACCTGTCTCTCCTCCCTTTCCCTCTAGCATCATCCCCAACCACCTCACTATTGACAGAATAGTGAGGCTTTGATGGTTTAGTCTTTCATTAGAATTAATACTAAAGTTTACATCAGAACCCAAAGTTCAAATTTTGTTTTTGGTGACCTCTCCATTGTAGTCGAACTTCGGATGGTTAACACCAAAAACATTCTCTCGATGAGGTAGAATTGCACTGCCTTCATAACTTTCCCATCCTTTTATCTTCAAATAACGAGTTAACAAACACGTGTTATCGCAGTGTATTAGAAATTCCAATTGGAGTTATCATAATTGGTTTGGACGGTAGAGCTGTGAGCTTAACGGTTGGCAATGGTGATTTATGTGGAGGCTAATAGTTGTAGAGGTTTGTGACAAACTCAATATGGTGCATGATGGTGGCGATACAGTGGTGCAAGATGAATGACAACCATGTCAAGTTTATGGAGGTGCAACTTAGTTTGTGACGGAAGGGCTAGGTTATGGGGACGCGAGGAAGACTTGGTTCTCAATTGTGCAATGGTGGAGATGAAAGATAGGTGATGTGTGTTGATGGTAGATCTGTAGCAGTGAGCTTTTGGGGTGGTGGAGTGGCTAACCCATGATATGACGTGGGAGTTTTTGGCAATGCTGGAGGAAACCTGAACATTGGAGGTATTCCTTTGCCAAAATGAAAAATCTCCACATTTTAAGAGTTCCATGGTTTGAGTAATAAGTCATTGTTTTAAGCCTAATATAGAATTCAAGTTGTCTCATAACACATCGACAATTGTTATTCATTTTTAACGTTAACTAACAAGAACAAAAGAGGATGTTCTACATTGTGAGGGACTAACATTCCACAATTTTATAGGCGAAAGGGTTTGGTCCATAAATGTTAAGTTGTAATTACTATAATTAGATTTTCCAAACTAAATTATATTCTCGAGGTTGTGTTCTCAAACTGCATATGGTGGAGATGTTCTTACTCAATGTTAGCAGGTACAACATTTACAAAATTTTCGTATAAACATTATAAGATGCTGCTTAATATTTTGAAACAACCCTAATTAAATCGCATTCAACAGGCAATGATATGTAGCTCTAATCCATCCCCCTTCCATTCGGCCCACTGATTTATTTATTTGTAAAAGATTGGAATAAACTTTAGGTCCTCAAACTCAACGTCTTCATTTTACTGTGATTATTGGTATGTTGATAGCATAACCATCCCTTGCGCAAAACATTTTGATGGTTCGTCAACTCTTGACTAGGAAAAGACTAGATGGATAGCGAATGACTATTGTCTTACTTTTTTCAAGAGGAATCACCATTTGATGGTGCTAAAACGGAATTACAGTAGGTTGAACCGTTAAATTATCTAGGTAGTCACTGTTGACGAACTTGTTCAAATGCAAGGGGAGAGAATTCAGGTAATTTTGTTGCGTTTAGTAATTTGAAAAATGAACTTGTATCCATTATGCTCACCCTATATATAACAATACATTTTTGAGGTGGTTTAGTCTAGTGTAAGTAGCCAAATAGAGGATCAACTATTTCTTGACTTAACTTGCCTGAAATGGTACAAATAGAAATGACTAATGCATAATTACAAAATTTGGTGAATCCCTAGTTTTCTACATGGGTTGAAATAAAAAAATTGCTTTTCTTGAGCACCCTCAAGGTGAATTCTCAAATTATATATCGTATGTCTTTATCTCTGATAGATAACCTTTATTTTTCACTTAATTCTACACTATTCCCTGTGCAATGTCACTCACATGAAAATTGAGTAAGTTTTTATTTTAGTCCATAAAATTGTATGCATGTATCATTTTAGTCATCAACATTATAAAATATTTTAGTATTTAAATTTGTTAAAAAATAAATTTATATTTTTATTTTATTATCATTTTGTATAAATAAAATGATTAAAATAAATGTCATTTTATAAGGGTATAGATTAAAATGATAAGTTTTGAAAGTCAAAGATTAAAGTTAAGGATGAGCATTGATTAGATTTGTATAAATCCCGTCTAAATCTATTTTGAATCTAATTACGTAGATTGGATTTTAAATCAATTTATATTATTGTTTTAAAATTTGGATTAAAACTGGTTTCAAAATTTAAATCTAGTTTTAATAATATATTTTCTTAGCATAGAAGGATTTATATATATATATATATATATATATATATATTCATAATATTCTATATTTTTATTTTATTTAATATAAATTAATATTATATAATATTATTACAAATTAATATATTAAAAATATTATTATAAGATATAAAATTTATTAATATATATATATATATAAATAAATAAATATAAAAGTAATACGATAGATGCCGCAAGAAACAAATTTAACAAACTGAAAAGCGTATATTTGGGCGCATAAGGCTTGTACAGGTGCCCTAGAGCGAACTACTGCTGAAAATGAAAAACGTGTATATGGATGTAGGCTTGCATAAATCGCTGGAGCGAACTACCGCTAAAAGCATGAAAATTGGTTTTATTATGAGATCCAAAATTTAACTCAACCAAAAAAAAGATTGAATGTCTAAATTTTAAAAAATCTAATTTTTTAAATTTAATTTATTTTAGTTATAGATTGAATCATTAAATTTGAATTTTTTGTACACTTCTAATTAAAGTTACTAATGTTTGTAACACGAAGAACTAGACTAAAATAAAGTTTTCTCTTAATTTGATTTATTTTTCCATACCAATCTTGTTCTTAGGAGATGCATGCAACACAATATTATAATTGCTAAGCTGTTGCATGTTTGGCACTAGTTGACAAGAGGAAAACCTGTGTATCATAAAATTTTGCAAGATATTTCAAATTTATCATTACCATTCATTTTAATCTATATTGTATTTTTATTACTACTTTATACCAAAAAGGTCTAAATTGAATGAAGTATGTGAAGTGAAAGACTATGAAAAGATTTTTAAATCTAACTAAAATACTTAACCAACGCAATCTTGAAAACTAATTTCATGAATTTACTTCAGAAAAAATTCGTTAGCAACTGCCGGAAGAAATCAGAAGAAATTGGAATACAAGAAACGAATCTGAAAACGAAGTAAACTTCAGGTGTAAATACATTTTACCCTTAAAAAGATGACTTACATTTTCAACAAATGCTCAAATATAAAATAAGATATCAATAGCCGCGCCGCTACATGTACAAAGCAATTTCCTGAAAAAGTGAGAAGGGGAATACAAAGAATACACTCAATCGTTTCTCGGGCAAATTTTAGTTTCTACCGAACTTGTATATGTAAAATAAAGAGTACAAAGAATATACTCATACATTTCTCGAAAAACCTAGAAGAAAAAACAGCAACCTAAAACAGAAAGGAAAATAGTTAACTAACTTCGGTACTTCTATCCTTGCAGAGCATATGCCACTCCTGTAGCACTGCTGCTTGAAGTGCTTGATGTTCAGCCTCTTCAGCAGTTAACTTCGATAGTGTTGAAGGCCCCTTTTTCTCATCTTCATCACCATCTTTCTTTTCTTTATTGTCGTCTTTATCATCCTCTTCATTTTCATCGTCAGATTTTGGGGTCTTGGGTCGTGGTTGGGCTGCCTTTAACAAGGCTATCCTTTCCATGGATATCCGAAGCCTCTCGGCAGCAGCTACTTTCACTTCATCTTCAGGCATATACTCCACCCCGCCATCAGTAAGGTCATCCAACCAACCCTGGAGATCTGATCCGATCTCCTTAGTTATAGATGCATCAGATGCTCGTACCACAAACTTGCACAGCATGGTCGTTGTCTCATCACCCAAGTCCACATTTCTACTCACTTCACTGGCACCAAAAATCATCATGCCCAAGAAGCCACCATGCCAAGTTTTAGAAGCATAACACATCTATTCCATCAAAGAGAAGAAGAAAAAGGGAAGAGTTAGTAAATTCAAACGGTGCAATGTCTAACTCAATGCATATAATCCCCATTATAGCCTTTGCCTTTTTATCCTACTGTATGTTGGGCAAGTTTCTCTTGGTTTAGTTACATATTTACTGTTTCCATCAAAGTAGAAACATGCAAGAAAAAGCATACAAGGCACAGAAATTGAGTACCAATATCACTAAGAAAACTAGGTGATTCCAGGAAAGGAACCTAACAAGACATCCTTTAACTATTTCAAAAATAACAAAATAACAAATCCACACCTCAAACCCTGCCACTGTTCGGATAATATGTGAACAAACTTTATGGAATGGCTTGGAAGACAAGGCTTTCAGTCCACTTAAGAAAGGAGATGCACCATACTGTTGAGCTGCAGTAGCCTTAAAACCACTTCCTTCGTAAGTATATGTACCAGTATATTCTACAATAGCTGGCAAACTGGGCCACAGTCGGAAAAACTCTACAGGTGATATTTGGTGCGGCAAGAGAAGCTCAGTCAATGGAATTTTATAATGTTGACATCTCAAAATCACAGGTTCACCTAATTCAGGCCTTAGGCTTCTCTTCTGTCTCATGATTTGAGGATCCTCTTCTGCATAGTCACCTTCATAGTCTCCAACAGCACCACTACCATAGAATGGGTAGTACAACACTTGAACCCAAAGGGCACATCTTTCAAAGTGGGAAACGCCAACTGTCACACTGCACAGCACTGGATCCTGAGAGGGGAAAAACATCAGAAACG